CGGTGTTCAATGTGCCTATCGTAGTTTATTTAAATATGTCAGGTTGTCCGTCGACTCGCTCTCCTCTTCTGCATCTTTCAAATGATTTTCTGCTATCATTCCATATGTAATACAGAGGCACTTCCGAATACAGCAGTGTTTTCCCAAACGCGTCATTCTGACATAACGTTAAGAAAACAGTTAACATTGTAGCTGGTAGATTTATAGCTATTTGCTGCACATTTGCAGCTGTGAAATACACACATTGTCCATTTTCTTGTTTTAAAAACAAAACAAAAAAAATACTAACAAAATATTTCAATTAATGCGCAGATCAATCGACACAGCTCAATTCCACCACCAATTGCACTGAAAAATAAGAACAGTTAAGAAAACGAAATGAAAAACAATGAAAAAATATAAAATAAACTATACTCACGAAATGAATGGTATGCTAAACAACAAAGCTCAATGCCATGTTACACAAAATAATTAAATCAAAATGAAAATAAATTGAAATCTATGAAAATTCACTTTATCAATGCAATCGGAAACATTGAAATGTAATCGTAACATATTTAGTTCAACCTGTGTTGCTATTACGTCCAACAGGGATGGCTCTGTTTTTCAAGAGAAGCATGTTTTTACCCGTCACAGGTGTGGCATCTTTATAGTAGGTACATCAAAACACACGCGAATTTTAAAGGAATGTTGTGTAAAAAATTTCAAAGCAATTAGTGAAGAAATTTCGGAGATTACAGAGTGAGTTGCTCTTACGTCCAACAGATGGCGGCGTTTTTCAAAAACAGCATGTTTTTTTCCTGTCCCAGGTGAGGCATATATATAGTAGGTATATAAAAACATGCGCCTGTTTGAATGAAACGTTGTGTCAAAATTTCAAAGCAATCGGTAAAGAGGTTTCGAAGATTTCCCTCACATAAAAAATACATGAAAATTACAGTTTTTCAGAAAAAAACATGTTTTTTTCCGTGACAGACGTGACATCTATATAGTATGTATATAAAAACCTGCTTGAATGCGAATGGAACATTGTGTGAAAATTTCCAAGCAATCGGTGAAGAACTTTCGGAGATTAGCGATTTTGAACAAACGAACATTTACATTTATATATATATATATAGATAGATATATATAGTTCATGAGTCACAGACAAGGATTTGAGAGGCGCCATTCTGTCGGCCTGATAGTCACACCTTTAGAGTGTTAATGACCACCAAGTGACCAAGGTCAGGTCATGTGAAGTTCACCTTGTTTCTGCTAAGCTCATAATTGCAGGCGGCTAGCCAGTGGGTCCTTCAAACAAGCCGCCTGTTTTAGGCGGCCCGAATTCTTGGGTAAGGACTCACTTTGTATAGTAATAGTGAACCTTCAGTTTGATTGCTTGAATTCGGATATCTATCCTGATAAATATACATGATGAATTATTGAGAAATATATACTTGATTCACTTTACTTGTAATCTGATTTTAATTGTTCCTAGATCTGGGATTTTTGGATACAATATGCAAACTAGAGTGTAGAGTTCTCTGGAGTGATTAAATAAAAGAATCTTGCCTGGAACATGATTCCAGTTGACACATGCTAATAACATATTTTGATTCAGAGGAGTTCCATTCCTTGTCTTGTATGTACTGATTAGAATGGATGGTGGCAGCCTGTCTACTTCTACTATCTACTTTTCTACTTCTACCTATCTACCCTTTTACCTCTACCACTACTTCCTATTCATCTCCGTACCCTCTCTCCCCCTTTCCCTTTCACCTGACGACCCCTCCTTACTCCTCCCACCTACTCCTCCCTACCTCTCTCACCCCGAACCCTCACTAATTACTTCATTATTCATCTCTTTCCTTTCGTTCTCTTATACGTTTGTGGCAGTGAAATGTTTCTAGAGTTTCTGTAGAGTTTGCGGGTAGCTGATCAAGTTACGGCACCTTGTAGTTGTAGCACCTAGGTAATCAAATACCTAGGTTACAAGGTGTTGAACTAGAGAGGTTGTAGTAGGAGCTCTGGGGGAACTCTAGGATAGTTAATTGAGGGCGGATAATTGACAAAAGAGAACTGTTTCCCCCCGCCCTCGTTAGTTAACTGGGGGGGGGGGGGACAATGGACTAAAGAGAGCTATTTCCCCCACCCTCCATTACACGAGGAGGTGCAGGTTGAGGACGTGGAAGTGGAGGTGGAAGAGCTTGAGGGCGAGGAGGTGGAGGTTGAGGACGCGGAAGTGGAGGTGGAAGAGCTTGAGGGCGAGGAGGTGGAGGAGCTTGAGAGCAAAGAGGTGGAATCTGAGGACGCGATGGTGGAGTTGGAGGAACTTGAAGGTGTTGAGATGAATCTTCAGGACGCGGAGGTGGAGTAGAACAGCTTGAGGGGGAGGCAATGGAGCTTCAGGACACGGAGGTGGAGGTTAAGGAGCTTGAAGTCGAGGAGGTGGAGATGAAGAACGCTGATATAGAGGTGGAGGAGATTGAGGGCGAGGAGGTGGAACTTAAGGACGCGTAGGTAGAAGTGGTGTGGCTTAAGGCCGCAGAGGTGGAGCATGAGGACCTGGAGGTGGAAGTGGATGAGCTTGATGGCGAGAGTGGAGCTTGAAGACGCCGAGGAAGAGGTGGTGGAGCTTGAGGATGCGAAGGTGGAGAAGCAGGATCTCTAGGAGGTGGAACTTAAGGACGCGGAGGGGGAAGAGTTTGAGAGCGAGGAGGTAAAGCTTGAGGCCGCAGAGGTGGAGGAGCTTGAGGGTGATTAGGTGTAGTTAGAGGACGAGGAGATGGAGGTGGAGCAGCTTGTTGGGCGGAAGTGTAAATTGAGGACTCGGAGGTGGAGTGGAGAAGCTTGGGGGCAGGTGGAGCGGAAAAGCTTGTGGGAAAGAGGTGGAGCTTGAGGATGAGGATGTGGAAAAGATTGATAGCGTGGAGGTTGAGCTTGAGGATGAGGAGGGGGAACAGATTGAGGGCGAGGAGGTGGAGCTTGTGAAGGTGGACGTGGAGGTTCAGGAGCTTCAGGGCAAGGAGGTGGAAGTAGAGGTGCTTGTTGGGCGGATGTGGGGATTGAGGACGCAGACGTGGAGTGGAGAAGATTGGAGGGAGGAGGTGGAACTTAAGGACGCGGAGGTGGAGGTGGAGGATCTTGAGGGCGCAGAGGTGGAGCTTGAGGACGCGGAGGTGGAGTTGTAGGAGCTTATGGGCGAGGAGGTGCACTTGAGGACGCGAAGGTGGAGGTGGAGGTGCTTGAGGGCAAGGAGGTGGAGTTTGAGGACACGGTTGTGGAAGTGGAGGAGCTTGAGCATTCAACTACATACCTTAATAAACCCTGCAATATTATTAAATATATAGTTAACCATAACAAAGAATCCCTAACTAAAAAAATAACCTCACTAAGTGCATAGAGGATTTCCATATCACTATTCAAAATAAACCCTTATAACTTTGACACCACAATTCAACGTTGTTTCTAACTATTTAAATTAATTACAGCACTACAAATCTCTTTAAAATTATTATATTTAAAGAAATTCAGTGAAGACTCAACACATAATAATCCCTTAACTTTCCAGAACAACATGCATATAATTACCTAAAACACGTTCCATGTTGTCTAACTGAATATAAATATAACATGTAAGCTGCCCTAAAAAGAGATAATCCAACTAACTTAATTATCCTAACCTTTCTTCACCTAACTATCCTGATAAATAAATTAATCTCTCCTAATAAATTTAATGTAGGAGGAGGTGCTATGTTACTAATCCTTAATAAAAATCCCCACCGACCTAAAGAATGTATAAAATTTAATAATCATTTATTAACTAATAAATTTCGTCTTCCCAATCGCTCATAAATAATATTAGATAAATAAAATAAACCAGATGAACATAACCCATGACCAACCATAATAATTACAGCCCCATTTACACCTCATCACCTAAATACCATTAAACCCCTTAAAACTATCCTTATATGAGCTACCGAAGAATAGGCAATTAAAGACTTTATATCTACTTGCCATAAACATAAAACCCTTACAACAACATCACCAAGAACACTAATATGCACTCACACCCTACAAATGCTCACACTGTGGAAAATACCATAAAATACTAATTATACTTACTTCTCATATACCAAACGTAACCAACCCTTTTGTTAAACTTCCTCCTACTATATATAATCTAATTAAAGACATTAATAAAGGTAAAGAAGCAAACAAAGTATAAAACAATATGTAAATACCAGCTTGAGTTCGCTTAGGCTGGTACCTCCATCCGAAAATCAAAATTAAAGTAGGAATTAAAGAATTCTTAAACCTTAAATAAAACATCAAATAATTTATTGAATAAAAAGTTATTAATAATGCAAACAACAAAACTAAATTTATTATTAAAAATAAGCAACTAAATTTATTGAATTTATTTACTATCTGTCTTCTATAAATAACAAGTACAATAATCCAAATCCTAAGCATTACCAAAATAATCCGCAAATAGTGGAGGTGGAAACTGAGGTCGCGGAGGTGGAGGTAGAGGAGCTAGAGAGCGAGGAGGTGAAGCTTGAGAGCGCGGAGGTGAAGCTTCTGGTTGATTATTTGGAGGAGCTTGAAGGCAAGGAAGTGGAACTTAAGGGCTAACAGGTGGAGCTTGAGGACCCGAAAGTGGAGGTAGAAGAGCTTGAGGGCGAGGACGTGGAAATGGAGGAGCATGATAGCAACGAGGTTTAGCATCAGGATACGTAGGTGGAAGAAGAGGAGCTTGAGGGTAAGGAGGTAAAGCTTGAGGACGCAGAGGTGGTGCTTGAGGACACAGATGTCGAGTGGAGGAACTTGGGGGGAAGAGGTGGAGCCTGAGGACGCGGAGGTAGAGAAGATTGATAGCGAGGAGGTGGAACTTGAGGAATCGGAGGTGGAAGAGCTTGAGGGCTAGAAAGTGGAGCTTGAGAACGTAGAGGTAGAGGAGCTTGAGGACTAGGTGGTGGAGCTTAATAACGCGGAGGTGGAGGTGGAGGAGCTTAAAAGCGAGGAGGTGTAGCTTGAGGACGCGAAAGTGGATGAGCTTGAAGGCGTGGAGGTAGAGCTTGGAGACGCGGAGTTGGAAGTTGAGGAGCTTGAGGCGCGGAGTTGGAGGTGGAACTTAAGGACGCTGAAGAAGAGGTGGAGGAGCTTGAAGGCGAGGAGGTGGAGCTGGGTAAGCTAGAGGGCGAGGCAGTAGAGCTTAAGGACGCGGAAGTGTAGGTGGAGGAGCTAGAGGGCAAGGAGTAGGAGCTTGAGGGCAAGGAGTAGGAGCTTGAGGGCAAGGAGTAGGAGCTTGAGGACGAAGAGATGGAGGTGGAGGAGCTTGAGTGCGAGGAGGTGGAGTTTGAGGACGCGAAGGTGGAGGAGCATGAATGCTAGGAGGTGGAACTTGAGGACGCGGAGGGGGGAAGAGCTTGAGGGCGAGGAGGTGGGGTTTGAAGACGAGGAAGTGGAGGTGGGGGAGCCTGAGGACGCGGAGGTGGAGTGGAGGAGCTTGTTGGAAGGAGGTAGGGATTGTGGATGCGGAGGCAGAGGACGAAGTGAGTAGTGGTAAACGACACATAACGCTGCCGTTTTGCTTTTTCCGATGGAAGCGTTATGTGTCGTGTATTTTTCGTTATAAATGGCGACGGCAGCGATATGGTGCATGGGTGTTTTTTAAGTTTTGCCAACGGCAGCGATATGGCTCCATGTTTTTTCATTACCTCAGTGAGATTAAATGGCAGCGATATGGATCCATGTTTTTTCGTGACCTCATTGGGATTAAACGGCAGCGATATGGCTCCATGCTGTTTCGTTACCCCAATGGGATTAAATGGCAGCGATATGGTTCCATGCTGTTTCGTTACCCCAGAGGGTGATTGCTCATTTCCAGGTCTCAGCATTCCGCTCAAGGGGATTAAAAAGCTGGTCTGTGAGTCGTGAATATTTCGTTACCCCAGCGAGTGATTGCTCGACTCCTGGTCTCAGCATTTCGTTCAAGGGGATTAAAAAGCTGGGCTATGTTCCGGTCCATTTTCGTTACCCCAGCGAGTGATTGCTCGTCTCCCCGTCTTAGCATTTCGCTCAAGGGGATTAAAAAGCCGGTCTATGAGTCGTGTGTTTTGCGTTACCCCAGTGACCCTGAAACCTAATGTAGAATAGCCTCATCCCTAGTCTATTTTAATTCTCCTATTTACTTTCTGTCTATGTTTGCCTTTCCATTGGAGACTTTCAGCGCCGTGGAGAGGGGGGACCTGCTGCCTGGTATTGTATAGTGTGGGTTGGTGGTGTTGTTGTTGATCCTTCTTTCTGGACAACCCAACCCACAACTCGGTAGAGTGCTTATACTTTACCAGAAGATCACCCTGGGCGCTTCTGGCTCTTGAAGAGGGGCTCAATGTCACACGTTTAGGGGGATGCGGTTCCAATACTTAGCCTCGTTGTCACGTGCACACACCCACTCGAGCCGCTGTGACTCCCCTCTCTCTCCTTATGTGATGTGATCTCCTCAATCCCCTTTGACTTATTAGTTTTCTGTTCTACCCTGTCCACAGTGGTGGTTTTTGATTCTTTCTCTCTCTCTCTCTCTCTCTCCTTCTTTACTACTTCCTGGGAAGCTTCACTAGGACAAGGGCAAACACCAGCAAATTTGAATACATTTACTGGACAAAGCACATACACAATACATACACACGTATATTAATAATGAATCCTACACTCTATACTATTTCAGTCAGGTTGCCCTCCAACACCATCAGAACTCTATCATCTGCTTATCAAGTGGTATTCTATCTCCTGGTTCACCACCTGATATTACCAACCTCCTCAAGTAGGTCAAGTCTTATAATACAATGTTGCACTATCAGCAAGAGAATATATATATATATATCTATAAACATGTACAAGGAAAATCAGCGTATGAGTGCTATAACATATATATATCAGTATAAACGTTCCTTGGTACACAACAATGATCAATCGATCACCCTATCAGTCCTAGAACACATACATCTGTAGGTAATCCAGCCTACGACTGTAACTGTATACTTCAGTATAAACACTCCTCGGCACAAGAATGGCAAACAATCCCTCACCTTTCACTGCGTCTTGCACGCTAATGACAACCGAACACTCTATCACCTCCCTAAAAGTAATCATTTAGAACTTCCCTTCAACATCTGGAAGTTCACTACCCTGATCTCTTCAGGTTCTTCCGGGTTTAACTACCAGGATCCTCTGCAGCTCCCCCAGGCTGCTACACCATGAAGTTTTCCTCGGGCAACTATGGTGCTTCGCCACCTCTACTAGGGTCCTCCACAGCTCTCCTGGCTGCTACACCATGAAGTTTCCTCGAGCAACTATGGTGCTTCACCACCTCAACAGAAGCACGTGACACTCCTCTTCACTGCTTCTCCTCACAGTTCGAGGTCCTCTCCTCCACTACCTTGGAGTCTCATCAACTACTCCCTCTGTGCTGGCTTCGAAGTTCTCAGCAACTTCTTCTCCAAAGACAAACCTGCAACCCATCGACACTCCAATAATAATGTTTCCCCTTAAACACATAAACAAAAATAACCACACAATATGTTTGCCTATAATATTTATCTGTTCTCTACATACTGTGTGAGTGGACTCCCCCATTTTGGGCTGGTCCATGCTCCGCCGTGCCCAGAGGTCCTCACTCACTCTGGGAGGGTCCTCCGCCGTCAGGAGCTGGGCTCCCTCAGTCACCTGCCAGTGCTCAGAGGGGACGGACGTCGCTCCGTCCTCCAGGACGTTCCTCCCTCTCCACTCTCTTATTTTAGGCTTTCTGCCTTATCAAAACATGTCTAACTTATCAATAAACATTGCTACTGTCGCTGGGCACACGACCAACTACAAGTAATCACTATGAACTGGCTTAAATCGTGCTTACCACAGATTGCCTAGTTGAGGGCGCTCCTCCCTCTGACGGAGTCTGGTCAGGGCACTCCCACGGCCCACGATAATGTCTCTGGGCGGCTTAATAAACACTCCTCGCCGTCCAGGACTTGAGACCACAACGTTCCCAGCTCGATTCCACAGCTGGCACATCTGCACACTTCTCTTCTCTTGGAGATATATCACTAGGTGTTCCTTTCTGACGGGAGCTCAAACGGAGCACGGCTTTCCCCTGCGATGTCTGGCACTCAAGTGAGATCAAAGCCCTCCAGAAGCGAGCCTTGTATTTCCAGCAAATTATCCACTTCTCCTAACCAGTCATTTATCTATTTTCTTATTCACTGCCCATAATCTCAAATTGTTTATAAAATTCAACCAACTATTTTACATCTGTGTTATCACCTCTATATTTCCTAGACCTCTAGACCTTCTAGTCAGGTTAGGCTTGATAGAATAATTCTCAAAGAGGAGACTCGTTTTTCGGCTACCTGGGATCATAACAGTAAGTACAGCTCCAGCCCCTATATCACTGGCATCTACATATAACGTAAATGGCGCTCCAAAATCTGGCGACATTAGTACAGGCGCCTCGGTCAACAGTCTTTTGGTCTTTTCAAACGTTTCTTGTGCTGTTCCATTCCACTCCCACTTCTTGCTGTTTGACAGCAAACTCGTCATAGGAGCGGCTATGATGGAGAAATTTTCACAGAACTTCCTGTAATATCCAATCATACCGAGGTATCTCAACAATTCTTTCTTACTCCTGGGCACCGGGAAGTTGTCAATGGCCTCCACCTTTGTTCTTACCGGAGCAACCTCAACTTGCCCTACTATATATCCAAGGTACTCCAGGCGGGCTCTCCCGAACTCGCTTTTTGCTAAGTTGATCGTCATGTTGGCCTTCTCCAATCGATCAAACAAATCTAAAAGTCGATCCACGTGATCCTTCCAGGAATCAGCGAACACTACAATATCATCGATGTACACTGCACATCCGGTCGCACCTTGTAATTTGCAATATCTAGTTCACAGCTCGCCAGAAACATGATCTTCTCACAAACGATCTGACTTCTCTGGCACCTCTTGGCTAGGCTGTCATCCTTGGACGCCCGCTCTACTTATTGTTTCCACCCTCCATTTCCTCATCTTCTTCTCTTCACCCCCAGAGTCAGACATCTACTGTCTGTACTTCCTCTGTCGTCTTCACACTTCCATCTACTGCCATTATACTTCCGTCTCCTGTCATAATACTTCACTCCCTCGTCTTCACCGACGATCCTCCCTTTCGTCTCCTCATTTATCCGAGACCTCATCCTGTTTGACTTCCATCAAGTCCTCGGCTTTCTTCTATTCCTCCACGCTTGTATCATCATCCTCTTCCCACACTTCTCACCTCTATACAACTCCATTTCTTCTCTTTCAAATCTTCTTCGTTCCCTAAAAGTTTCTTCGAGCACTGTACTACACCCAACAGCACTCGACCGTACATGTCACTTTACCTCTCCTAGAGTGCTCGTAAGCATCTCTCCACACATACTGTCTCTTCTCCTTCATTTTCTCGGCTCTTACTCTTCTTCACTATCTCTCCTCCACGTTTTCTGTGAAACATGTCAACTCCTGACATCTCAAACAACTTAATTCCACTATCCAAATGCCTCTGTGCTCGTGGACAACTTGACGCTCTACTCCCGTCCTCAGTATGTCCACATCCTTCTTCATTTCTACTCAGCACAGTTGCATTCACCTTCAGACTCTTAATTTCAGCGGGCTGGGCTCTATTCAGGTCCGCTCTCTTCACATGATTCTTCTTCGGCTGGGTCGTCTTCACTTTTGACCTCACCGAAACTTCATCTTCCTGAGCCGGACCTTCCTCAAATAACCACGCTATATCTACGTCGATATCTTCTACCGGTTGAATTGCCACTGTCTCATTTTCTCCAGCGTCTTCCTCGTCGGCCACCTCTGCCTTCATCACTACTAGACAGGGTACTCAATGGCTTGGCAGTCTCCTGATGCATCTCCTTGGATGTCAGTCAGGTTCACACTCTCAGGTGTCCCACCCGTGCCGTGGCCCTCTGGGCACTCCTCAGGCACAGTCTCCACTATGACTCTTGGCAACACCTTTGTCCTGCACAAGTCATTCCCCAGGATCACTTGGACTCCTGGAATAGGTATGTCGGGGCATACTCCCAACATCACCTCTGCCGACACATATTCCGACCTTAGCTGGACAGTACAAACGGGCATGTCACTCTCAGACAATAACCAATATACTTTCATCTTACTCCTGCCAGCTAACCGTCGATCATTCCCAATCAGGCTTCTCGTAATCAAGCTCTGATTAGCTCCGGTATCTCTTAAGATACCAACTTCTACCTCAGGTTGGCCTCCTATACTGATCCAACCTTTGCTCATGAACGGCCTATACCTCTCGTTCACTAAGTTCACCCTCTGTGGTTTGTCTTGGAACACATTAGTATATTTACTTCGGGGGGTCACACATGGCCAGGGTCACGACTCTCTTGCCCTGCCGACAATCTCGCATCACGTGACCCAATCCGTTAGAACTGTAACACCTCACCTGGGAAAAGTCTCTTCTATATGTACCAGAGCGGCTCTGACCTTGTCCACTCGCATGAGAGTTCCTCGGGCCAGGCACACTACCTGCACTCTGTGGGGTTTTACTGGACTCTTGATTTCCTGGATAACGATTAGTTTCTCGTTTAGCTCCTCCCTCCTCACTTTCAGACGAAGTGCGCGACCTACTCTTCTGCGTTTTAGGGTACTTACGTTTATCTGCCCATTTATCAAAATTCTTCTCACCCCAGACTCTTCTGGGTCTTTCATAATTTCTTCCTCCCCAGACTCCACCGGATCTGCCATTGCTGCATCTCGCCTCGCTTCTCACTCTGTTCTCCCTCAAGCTCTTGTACGCTTCCGTAATCATATCTGCCCTATCTGCGGCATCTTTCACCTCCTTTAC